CGCACCCACTGGCGGAAGCCTTGGTTTAACGCCTTTTTTATCACTCTTCCCTTTGCATTCCTTACTAACGTGAATTCCTTCCAGTCCTCCTCGTTGTGTGTGCGAATATACTACCAGAAATGTCTGCGCGACGCCTCGATTGCCTCTATGCATTTAGGTGTCCAGCCCTGGCGGGCCCACGCTGATGGCTTCGCCTAGGTATTGATGCCTGGGCAGCCTGCTGCACGATATCAAGGAGATAATTGACGGCGTAGTCAATTTCACGCAGCGTGGGCTCTTCCGGTAGTCGCATCACGCTAAGGTTAGCTGAAGCGAAGGTAAGGAATTTCTCTACGTCTATTGCTTTCCAGTTCCGCCGTTTGACGGGATCTGCTGCCTCTAACACGTTGATTTCGAGCAAGGTGAGTATTAGAAGGTGATCTGAATCGGCGTGAACGCTATAGTCGACCTCGTATGCTACTATCTGCTCGCGTAGGGCGTACAATGCAAGAACGAGGTCGATCGTGGACTGTGAGCCAGACTGATCGCGTATGATAGTGCCGGGTGTTAACCAGTTGTCTAGACCGGCTGTTTCCATGAGATCTAGGAGATCCTCAGCGCCCGCGTTATGTGGGGCATCATCGCCCCAGGGCGGGTGGTGTAGGTTGAAATCCCCCAGCACAAGGTAGGAGACCACCTTCTGTTCACGGATAGGCGGCAGTTTATCCTGTAGCAGGCGGAAGGCTGCTCCCTGCTACTGATCGTTGTACACATTAACGATTCGAAGCTCCTCTAACGACTCGGTCTTCACTCTAATTTCCTGGCAGTCGCGAGAGTGAACCAGGTGAGTGTATTCGCCCAGCTTCTTCGAAACGAACATACATACTCTCGCCCTGCTACCTGTTTAGTTCCCGGCCGGATACAACAGCTCATGCGTCTGCTTCAACGGGTGGTGAGTGCTGTCTTGAAAGGGATTCTCCCACGGCTTCTGGATTGCAATAATATCGGCGCTGACAACCTCTTCTTCACGGAGGAACTGCGCTATGACGACATCCTTCGATATGTGCACGTTGTATTGGTATATCTTGAGTTCCTTTGGCATGTGCTGCTGGCGGTTGTGATGATTCATTGGCGGTTCGATCTGGGAGATTTCCTGCTATGCATCTCGCGTCTTCCTGCTGGTCTTCGCTATGAGCTTGCTTCCTCTTCCTGTCCCTCGCACGCGCTGGCGGTGACGATGGCTGGTAGTCTTGATCGTTTTTGTGAGTCTCTAGCTGGCGTTCTAGGTCTCGCATGTTGACCTCATCGAGCTCGGAGCTAAGCTCTGAAAATTCCTGATTCGCTTCCTCCACTAAGCTCGCTATACGCGCAGATTTCCTTGTGGTGTCGGTGTTGTCGCTGCTGGCCTTCCTTTCGGCAATCTTCCTCGCTCCAGCCTCCCTCGCCTTTGCAGTTCTCGCTCTAGCTAGATCAGCCTTTGACTGGGCACTACCGGTACCCTGCGAGCTGGTGGGCCCTTCTAGCTAGAAATCGATCTTATCGAGGGGGGGGGGCGCAGTGAAACTGCGTCCTGCAGAGAATCTGCAGAGACTTGAAAGGTGCTTAGTGCTGTCGAGAACTAGAATATCGGCTGTTCTTCGTCGGTTGTCGGCTGGTCGATACTAATCGGTTGTTCCTGGGTTTGTCCTTCTATGTCCATGGTAGTATCCATCGGCTGGGACTAAGCTCTCTGAGTCCTCCGCGGTCTCTCCCTCCCTCTGCTTGATGACGCCGTTGTCATCGATTTGCCGCTCTCTTTAGGTGCATACTGACTAGCTTGTAGGCAAGTTCCTATTCGTGATACAGGGCCGGTGCCTTTACCCCCGTTGCTAGGTCGTGCGGCCGGCGCGAGACCGCTACTCTCAGCGCCACTAGTGAGCTCCCCGCTCGATGATGATTCCCTCGGCGTTCCCCACGAGCTGGCGGATGAGGAGTGTAAGGTAGCCGGCTGTGGGTTGATACTGTATAGAGCCGGAACATGGTGATATCTCCCTCTATGCCTCGACAGCTCTGCCACCTTATCTACCTCCTGCCGACGTGCTTCACATTCCGTGCTCCACGCAGCGTGTGCGCCCTCGCAATTAGCACACTTGCTCTCTAGTGTACTGCTGTCTTTCCGTGGGCAATCCCGAGACTGATAGCCCTCGGCGCAGTATACGCATTTGACGGTGTTGGCACAGGTGGATCCTATGTGACCATATTGTTGACAGTTGAAGCACTGCCGCACACGAGCCGCTCTGTCGTATAGAATGGCCTTTAGACTGTCGCAATCCCAGAGAACCCCCTTGTCAATCGCCACGTTGGCCGGCACTGGAGAAGTAAATTCAACGATAAGTGAGCCTGACTTTCGCATGTCTGCTTCGCCCCAGTTATGGCTGTTCGCAGCGAGAGATCCTTGATCACCCTGTCCTGCGGTATCTCCTCTGACGCCCTGTTAATACCAGGCGAGCGCACATTGACGTCATGTACAACGACGCCCCAGGTCGGCATATAAACAAAGGCCTTTTTACACAGGCCCTTCGCCCACTTCTCTCGATGGATCCGCATTATTTCTGCCTCCTTCGCGTTGCGCATAGTGAAGCGGAGATCACCCGACTTCAGCTGGCACGATGCGAGGATCATTACTGATGCGAGGCCATTCGTCCTTGCCGCCTTCCCCCGGGCCTGATTTGCACGCTTGGTAAGCTCAGCGCTCGTCAATCTGCGGAACACGCTGACCTGCGAGCGATCGTCAAGACAGACCACCACTTTGCGGTCACGTGCTACCTCCGCGGGGCGCGTTAGCGAGCTCGATGAGCTGCTTGAGGAGAGATAGTGCGCCGGCCCAGGCATTGTGCGGACTGATGGAGATCCGATAGGGATCTCCCTCGGGAGAACCCTGTTCGGGATTCTCCTAGAGGATGATTCCAGGGCCAGGTTGATTGCTTCGGCCTATATAGGCCTTTCCCTTCTTTGTTTCCTCTCTTCTTCTGCAGAGATAGTTCTCCAGGTATTCGAAATAGATTGTTCCTCTCTTCCCGGCTTCCTTGTGTAGTGGCGATAGATCGCCATCCGGCGAATGAGCGAACCGTCTGTCTAGCTGGAGGTTCCGCAGCGGCCTTAATCGCAGTAGTAATCTCCTGCTTGAGGTCTCTGCGAAGTGCTTCGAGCTCCTGCTGCCAGTCGGTCAGGGGCGTTGACAGGAGGTCCTTCGTCAGGTCTTCCACCTGCCGGAGGAAGTTAACAACCTTCGGGGCTGGTCTTGCTGCATTCTGACCCCTTCCAAGCTCTTTGAGAAGGTCGTGAGCGGTGTGGTTGGCGCTCAGTACGCGCTCTCTGTTCGATGGCAGATTTTTCAATAGGCCGCCGGAAGCCCCTGGCGGAACCGGCCCAACGCCCTTTGACGCGCGCAGCATCGCAATACTGGTCGAACAGGGTCGAAACCGGTATCAAAATGATAGCGCAGGGAGTTAAATTGAAACTGCCGTTTACTAGAAGTTGCCAACTGGCGTGGTTCCTGAGATATTCCATAATTCAATTCGGCGCTGAAGTTGTTGTTTTTCAATTATCCTGCCCCTTGTAGTGTTAAAGGCCGAGATGCGGCGGCGATGCGCAGAGGCTGGCATCGAGGGGCGCATGTGTGGGAGGCGGACTCGGATCCAGATCGGTTACAATCCTGTCCACTGATCATGGTTGCGGTTGAGCAGGCCGTGACACATCGATTCAGCGGTTTCTTAACTTGTTGGCATGTCGCAAACGAACTGGACCAGGTGGTGTTTGACGAGTGTCAACTCGCCACCACAGCGGTGTCGTATCGGGCTGCAATGGGGCTTCTGCCCATGCTCCGGAAATTAGCGGTACAAATGATATTTCTGATGGGCACAATGCCACCGTCTATGGTGCGGATGGTTCGTCGCCTTACGATACGGCGGGATACATATTTCCATTTCAGCCGTTGCCCTCCGAAGCGTGATTTTGTCCGTGAATTTGCTGTCCCTGGAATCCAATATGTTATTCGAGGTCTTGCGGTTGACCCGCGTGCTATTATCTACTGCAGCATTAAGGATGTGGCGGAGGAGGTTGCACAGATGATCGATGCTCCGGGGTATCACTCTACGTCTGGCAGCGTCGAGGAGAAGGCGAAGGTCCTTCAGCAATGGCGAGCCGGAGAACCTTCTTATATCGTGGCTACGTCTGCGTTTGGCATAGGTATTGACCATCTAGCAGTCTAGTGGGTAGTGCATGTTGGGGTACCTTGGAGTGCTATCGACTTTGCGCAGGAGGTTGGGCGACCTACACGGGACGGAGCTGGAGGGCAATCGATTGTCCCCCACAGTAGAAGGCCACGACAACTAAGCGAAATGCACGACCACTAGACGGCGCTGAGGCGGCCATGCAGAGTTATATCGAGGCCAGTAGCTGTCGCGTGTTGGAGCTATCGCGTTTCCTCGATGGTGACGGTAGTCCCTGCACGCGAGAGGCACTTATGTGCGGCCGGTGTCGGGATGCTAGTGAGGTTCAACTACCTGCTAGCCCGTCTGTGGGACATGGGCAGCGCCTAGAGGAGACGGACGGGGATGATGATATGGGAGACTTACAGGCTGAGGCGGAGCTCCTTCAGACGGGGATCCAGGAACAAGCACGTGGATTAGCGGACTATAGCGGGTGTCTAGAAACGTGGCGCGGGGTGTGTATGATCTGCTACCATCTTCCCCGGGTGGCGTCTGGTCAAGTCGGGCACGCACGGCATGGGCTCGCGGGATGCGTGAACCCGGAGCGGTTTCGGTTCTTCGAGGCGAACGGGAGGCACAGTCCCACGGACAAGGACGTGGGGGTTGGTTCCAGCAGTATAGCAGTTGCTACCGTTGCTATAACCCGTGGGTTGTGTGTGAGTCACGACCTTAGGTCGTATGCAGCCCCCCTCGCTATTGTGCGCTGCATCATTAAATATGTACACCAAATTAATTCATCACCTCACAGCTTTGCCCACCGGGCTTCACACATCAGTGCCTTTCATACATCAATCTTTTAGTCTCAACCGCGAAAGCGACAACTGCTTTGATGACCTTGATATCATGTTTCCACGCTCTTCTGTTCTGCTCATTCGTACCGTCCACACTCTCCGGTTTACCTCCTAGCATATACGGCAGACTACCGTAGTTGGAGCCAACCGCGTCAATGAGAACGCGACGTTGTTCGTTCCATTGCGTGCATTGGAACAGGAAGTGCTGAACTGTTTCGCGTTCGACACCACACGCGCACAAGTCGCTTTCACTCTGACCAATCCGATGAAGATACCCGTTAAATCTAGCATGTCCCGTGCGATGCTCAGCTAGAACGGATGCCTTCTCCCGATCGAAGCAATCATAAATTCGATGGGGACCCTGGAGGGCCCAGTCCAGCTGGCGAGCGTACTGGCCAGCTACTGACTGTCGGAAAACGCTTCGTCGGTGATCTACCGCGCTCAAACGTGCCCACCGCAGCGCGGACGCTCGGAGCTGGATCTTCGCCCATGGCGGAGGATCAATCTCCCTGCTCTCCGTTGTCGCGTCGTGTGCAAGGCTGTGTGCTCTTTCCATCCCTTCTCCGGGCTCCTACCTTGCCGGTCGTAAACTTATCTTAGGACCCATTTCAGACAACTGGATAATTGCGTCGGTGACTTGGGTGATATGTGCCTGGCCACCTTGGAGATGCTGTTTCGCAAGTGATTGTAGAACAGTCGAGTTACTCACAACAAATATTATTTGTATTTTCCACAGTGACATCTGGATACGGGGGAGCATCCGTCTAACATATGAGCTTGCCTCCAATACGGCCCCAAGCTGGGCGTAGTGGGCGTTAAGCACGTCGTCGCTGCCCACAGTCCGGCTCGATATGGTAATGTCGAATTGGTTAACGCGGACGACTAGGCCCGTTCCAACCAACCCGTTGCGGACGCTGACGCTAGTGAACAGCCAGAGGCGAGCACCGTTGGTCTCGCGTAAATCGTCCAGAGCAGATCCAAACGATGTAATCAACTCAGAGAGCGACTGTTGCTATGGGTCTAGTGGAAAAGGCCGAATCATCTCCATGTCTGATAAGCACTGTGGGCCATGGACCGCTAGTATCTTGAAAGGTGACGGATAGCTCCCGTCCTGTGCAACTGCTGCTGCTCGACAGGGCCAGAAGGGGTGGTCTTTCGGCAGTGTGTGGCAGTTAATCCAGTGCTTTATGATCCGGGCACGTAGTCGTATGTAGGTCGAGTTAATCCCAGCCTCTGCCAATCGCGAGAGCCGTAGTTCGTATTACTCCGAATATTGCTTGAGCCGTGATCCGCTACAGGTTCGAACAGCCGCCCGATCCCGGGAGGAATAACAGTGTCCTTTCTGGCAGGGCACCACACCGACGCTGCGTAGTCAATCTTAGACGCAACTGTGGAGATGAATAACTGCCGAGCAACCGACGGCGGCAAGACGCGGAGGTGTCTTCGTGCTAGAACGGCCTTCATTCCCTTAGAAGCTGCTTTTCCAATATGAGACTCGAATCGAAGATCCTGATCGAGTAACACGCCGAGGATCTTCACTACCGGCGCCAGCGTGAGTGCCGCACCATCCACGTATAACGGAATAGCAGGGGGTTCCCGTAGCCGTTGGTTCCTCGTGAAGTGGATGAAGGATGTCTTTTCAGCTTCAAAGGCTGCGCCAGATCGTGCCGCCCATTCTAACGCCCGCAGGATAACCTTCTGCTGGAGCGTTATCGTGTTCGCTTCCGCGGATAGGCCCACTGTCCACCTTGTGTAATCGTCGACGAATGCGATAGCATCTTTCCTCCTCATGATAGGAATATCCACTAGTTTCACGTTGAAGAAGAGAAAGAGGATAGGCGAGAGCGGCGAGCCTTGTCGAAGCCCTGCGCATCGGATATCCACTTCTTCGGACTGGTACATGTTTACTATGATCGAAGCGCGCCGCGCAAAGCAGAAGCTATCGATCCACAGGACCAGGACGCTTGGAATCCGCCGCTCACGCAGTCTCCGCAATGGCACCCGCCCATCCACCCCCTTGTACGCGGCTTTCACGTCGAAGCTCACCAGTCTAAGAACCTTGCCCTTTACTATGGTGTTTTGGGCCGGGCCACTCGCTTGTGTGGGCCACCCGCTTGTGATATACGTTAACTTAGTAAAATGGTGTAGTGTCTAGCTGTAGCAATTCCCCCCGTTTAGCCGTGGATTACGTTACCTATCTTTTCTGAAGAATTATTGTTACTGGATCCCTTCATTTTCTCCATATCCTATTTTAGCCATCTGCGGCTAACCCCGCGCCCGGCTGGCAAAATAGCATTCCCACAAGACCTGCCGACGGTGCCATTTATTCGGCGACATGGGAGAGACTCCACTCGTGCAATTCCACCCCCTTTGGTTAATTCTGTGCGGCTTTGGGCTCCGCAGATTGGACTGTAACCTGAAGCAGTGTGGGGTGATGGGGACTTGGCGGGTTGAGTTTTCTCTCATTGGATTAGATCGTCGGGAGAATGAATTGGCAACTTACTCTTCTCGTACACTAGTAAGGACAACAATTATTGGCAACCAACTTACAGAAAAATAGCACTGTATTGTGATAGCAAGATGTTGTCATTGGGCCAGGGGTGGAACTAGAGGGGGTGGAAGTTTCTGGGAGTGAAGATCCCCACATAATTTACCCGGGCGATTCAGAGACGACCAGGCTCACTATTCATTCAAATACTACTCCATCAATCACTCTGCCAATCACTCTGCCCACCGATCGTATCCGCCCAACTTCCTGACAATGTTCTACCCTTGTGGTCTGTTCGGAGCTTTCGCTTGCCTATTTGGCATTTCGCTGGCCAATTCACAAGATATCTGGTCACTTCATCAATTCAAGAGCCTTGTCGCCTTTGGAGATAGCTACACCGATGAATCCCGAATGAACTATTTTATGGCGCATCACGGGTTGAGCCCGCCAATTGGATGGGTTGACCCAGGGGTTCGTGCAAGTCCGTGGGAGACGCGAGACCATGATAGTTACTAATCTCAATGAATTTAGAATAATGATACTGCCTCCGGTGGCTACACGTGGGCCCGCTTTGTCGCTGAGCATGCCGGAATAAATCTTTACGACTATGCAGTGAGCGGGGCTGCATGTTCAAACAACATTACGAATCGGTTTTTCTCCCCCATCGATGCTCCCTTCCCTTCAGTTCTGGAGTATGAAGTTCCGGCGTACATAGAAGATAGCAAGCACGTCGCTGCTTCTGGCGATAAATTCCTACATATTCCACCCCACGAAACAGTTTACTCGATATGGATCGGAACGAATGACCTGGGTAACTACGCATTCATCACTGACTCGCAAGTGGCAAATAAGACAATTCTGGACTATATTGCATGCGTTTATTCAGCCTTGGATAAAGTTTATGAGAACGGCGGTCGCTTCTTTGTGCTCATGAATGTAGCACCGTTGCAATTGGCCCCACTATACGCAACCCCAGAACATCACGGCGTGGGACCGAACCACTACTGGCCGGATAAGCCCACCAACTTGACTGAGATCAGTTATCGGATGTGGGAACAAGTTGTTAATGTCAACAATGCTTTCAAATATCAGACTCCCTTCGAATTGCTAATCCGAAACCGATATCCTGGGTCTAAATTCGCCATCATGGACATGTTTGGGTTGGTATGTTCAACTCCTCGCAGGCACGTAAGATTTTTTCATATCTAACTCTCGCAAGTTTACCGATATTTATAATAACCCAAAATTATACCTCAATGGGAGCGCTCCGGCCAATGTCACCGGGTTCAACAAACATTGTGATCTCAGTGGAGCCACGTGCACTAGGCTACCCAGCCCAGATTCTTTCCTGTGGTTTGATGAGCTTCATCCATCGCAGCGGACGAACCAAATTATTGCACGGAATTTTATTGATGTCATGAAGGGGAAAAGCAAGTGGGCAACCTTCTGGTAGAGGGAAGAAGACGGGTCTCTCAGTCTTTCTTCGTGCCCCCCTCATTTCATCCAGCAGTCGAACTGCTGTTTACCTATGTGCCTGTTAATTTTAGAGGTTGCATCTCTAGTGTTGCAGACTATATGTATCGAATGCTGGGACACTGCCCGCGCTGCCGTAAAGACTTAAAAGGTAAGGTAAGCTTGTGACTTGGCTTTTTGGACAGGCTAGTTGTAGAGAGAATGATACAGTGTAAAATTTTACTTCAGTACTGCTTGCGCATTTCTGCTCAGCACGTCGTGCCGCCGTGGGTGTAGGAATCTCCAGTAACATATCTTCAATGGCAACGCCGCGCGGTAAGCGTCGACCGGGAGACATACGATCGGCGTCGCCCCGCAGAGCCCCATGATGGCCAAATAGGTCAGAGTAGAGGTCGTATTCATTCAAATGGGTCATCCAAGCAAGCCGCACATGGGACGTGGATGACCGGGGATGCCGGAACAACAGCAGTAGTGGAGACCGGAGAATGGAGATAGTTACTAACATCTCCCACTTAGATTAGTCATTATCATGCCCACATAAATTGCCCGATAGGGGCTTTATAGCAATTCAGACTTGTTGATATCTGATTATTGCGCAGTATGATTTACGAAGCAGTATTCCGATTGTTATGAGCCTGAGTCGCCATTGAGAGGGGTATATTCGTCAATTGAGGCTATACGCAGGTTTACCGAGGTAGCTAAACCGGACAGACGTCTACCCCTGACCACCTTCCTATCGATCGAAACTGCAACAGAAGAACGCGATCTATATGGAGTCAACCGTTGTCTCCGCCATGAAGGGCGAGAAACTGAAGGATCCAACGCAATGGAGGAATTTCTCACGAAGCAAGATTTATGCACGGCAGAAGAGGGTATGGAATCTGATCGACCCTCACACCGAAGAACGATATCTTGAAAGAACGATTCGCAAGTCAAGAAGGCCTCAATACCCCGAAGGAGGCAACGATCCGGCAAAGCGAGATTGGAGAGACCGTATGGACATCTATAAGCTCGACCTAGCCGAATGGGAACAACAACAGAGCAAGAGCCTAGGCCATCAATGAATGGATCATCTCCAATTTGAATCCAGCTCACCACACCTCGATGTTGAACTACCCAACCCCGTACGAGCGTCTTGTGTATATTCAAACCCGATTTGGCCGATCAACAGCGGCAGAAGATATTCGAGCGCAATGGAAGCGTTTATCGGCATCACCACCAAAGAGAGGAGCCGATATCGACCAGTGGATCAAAGAATGGGATTCACCAAGAGAGCAAGGTGTGAGCTTAGATCTGCCAGAGTTGAAAAATGCCAACAAGGATTTCCTCCGCGCTGTCAAAGATATACTCCCATTTTGTGGCAGCTAAAGTTTGAAGCGATCGTGCTGCACCAGGAGGAGTGGGATACTCGCGATTTGATCGAAAACCTCAGAGAGCGAACATAATAGCACGATCTGAAAAGCATCCTTTTCAACGCTGCAAGGCTTCGAGGAAGCTAGATCAGAACAACCACTGTAGCAAGCGCAGGAACCGCCACGAGAACGTTCCTTACCACCCATTTCGAAACGAAATTGCCTATGTGGTAACCGCTATCACAAACCTTGGAAGTGCTGGGTGATTAACCGAGATCCATACCCTGATAAAGAGGGTTTGAGACGACTGCGAAGCGAGTCAATCAATCAATCAATCAACACTCTATTAACCTGTTGCAGCCTAACTAGTGGTCTGCGAAGCGAGTGGAAGATCGTCTTGCGAAGGACCCTGCGTGGAAAGCCTGGATAGAGAAACCTGTCAAGGAACACAACGAGAAGAACGGAGTGAGGCCAGCTACGAGTACGGCCAATATCGCACAATTGTATGGCTCCTTCTTCACCACGAGCTTTCCAATCGAACAGGTGTATCAAAGCGTGAAGACAACAGGAAACGCCGACGATGATATTCGACGACGTTGGTTCCTCGATCCTGCCTCATCAGTGCATGTGTGCAACCAGAGAGACCTATTCACTACCATCAAACCGATAAAATCAGGCCTGAAGACAGGTGATTCGATCACTGCAGTAAAAGGTGGTTGGAAGCGGTATTATGACCGGAGCAGGTCCTGGCGGCTCAACTCGACCAATTCAGCTTAGCAACGTCTTATATTCGCCTAACTTCCATACCAATTTGATGTCTTACTCAGGTCTGAAGGAGAAAGGTGTTCGCTGGGACGAGGATAACGAGTGCATTATTGATTATAGTGGCGAATCAGTCATTAGTGTACGTCTCATGAAGTCGTTAGGGATATAGGCGTTCCATCAACCGAGAGAGCCTCGCTCCTCACCAGAAACTATTGCCCACGCACACGCCGTACGAAGATCGGTTAAACCACTCGTTTCGGAGGCCTCAGCAGATCGTTGGCATCGTCGATTGGCCCACGTATCCACGCATGTGATGAAGAAAACTGACGAAATGGTAGATGGTGTCAAAATCAACGAAGATCTGCCAGAAACACTATCCGAAGAAGGAGAACTTTGCTAGGTCTGTAATCTCTCAAACAAAACCAAACAGATATCACGACGAACAATTGGCCAAAACTTTGGGAGAGACGGCCGAATTCACTTCGATTTGGTTCGAGTTCCCCCTGCATATAACCGACATCAGTGGATGACGCATTTCTACGTTGAAGGCATCCGATTCCACTGGTTATACCCTCATGAACATGAATGGGAGTGTAGAGAGGGTGTTAGAAACTTCATTGCTATCGTCAGGAACTGGTGGAAACTGCCAATCAGAGCGTTTCACTATGACAACGAGAAGGCTGCTGGATTAGTGGTCGAAAGCTTCCTTAGTAATATCGGCATCATTATATCGCACAGTATCCCCTATCACCCTGAACAAAACGGCCCTGCCGAAAGATCAGGAGGAGTGATTTTGACTATGGCGAGACACTTGCAAGTCGAAAGCAAGCTACCGAAGGAACTTTGGCTAGAGATGGTGAGCAATGCTGTATAGATTCTCCATCGTATCTCTACCTACCTGAAGCAGGAGAATCGCTGGATCGTGCCATGGGATGATGCACGAAGAGATTTCGGCGGCGAGAGGATGAAGAAGGCTAATCTAGCCAACCTGCGCGAGTATAGCTCTCTGTTGTACTGCCGTATCCGCAATATCCCACGCATCAAAAAGACCGGCCCCCGTGCATAAATCGGTTTCCTCGTTGGATACGTTGCATCAAAAGTGTGGAAGATCTGGTTCCCCGCGAGCGGGAAGATAGGGGTTGTAAGAGATGCATACTTCGATGAATCGAGGAATGCAACCCTGATGTGCAGTACTGGGAAGAGACAGCCCTACCTGAGCCTGAACCGACGATTTTGACCGAGGAAGAAGAGCGAGAGGTAATTAGCGAGGAGATTGGAATCCATACCGAATCTATCAACTGAAACACCTAGGAAGATATGCAGGCGGACCCACCAGTAAGGCCATCAGGAAGGCCAGGAAGGCCAGCAGGAAGCGATCCCAGAAGAGGATAATATACAACACGAAGTTCGCGACTAGAGAGACTGTAATATACCTTAGGGGGTGGCTACACCGATAACCCCAGAACCTGGAGAGAGAGGCTACCTACCGGTAAACCAGGATCCTCCCAATAATACCCTGCCTGGCTCATTTCCGACAGAAGAGCTACCAGAATTGCCACCGAGACTATTAGAGGAGCAGAATACCACTGAATTTAGCCCTGCCGCTGCTTAGGAGGTAGACCAGCAGCCAATAACTCAGCCTGAGGAACGGAACGTCTGCGAGGAAGAAGACTAGTCGGCAGAGCCAAATTCTCCGCATGAGGGCCTTGCCGAAGAAGATCATCCTGATGCGCTCTCCGATAGGTAACAGCAGCTATATAGCGAGCTACACACACGAAGGAATGACGGGAACGAGGCAGCTAATATCATCGAAGGAAGCAGAAGGAGAAAACTAAGATTAGATCCTGATTATCATACGTACGCAACAACCTTGCCGGCGGTTGAAGACGACCCACCAGAGCTACTGCGTATATTCGCTGTAGCACTATACACAGAGAAGCCGTTGTAACGCCACCGAGACGATCTTCCCCATACGCCTGATGGTTGGAAGAATATGATGAAACACGCAATGGCCGAGGGTTTTCCGGCCGCCTGCGCGAAGGAGATACGATCGTTGCAGGAGAAATCAACGTTTACTGATGACTCGATCCCTTTGACCTCGAGGGTTTGCAGGGTTTGTCGTCTTCTTTGGCCCTGCATGAAGCAGGCCGGTGATTTCCTGCCAGGTCTAGGCCTGTTCCTTTCCTTTGTGCTTCAGGGCCTTATAGACCTGTTCTGTTCCCTTCTGCTTCTTCTTATCTTAGTCGTCGTCGTCTTCCTGTTCTAGATAGACCAAGTGACTCAGTCTCCCTCTTCTCTCTTCGCTTCCGCTTCCTGTGCCAGCAGTGCCGTGGGCGCTGTCAAAGTGTATCTTTCGGTGGCGGTGAGCGGGCTACGTCTCAGTGTTCACTTTTCAACATACATATTGATATTTGAACAATTTCATTTTAAAGATGACTTCTTGAAAGCAGTTAATGACCCTCTATACAAAAATCTTTGCCCACCAGCGGAAACAGAGCTTCTCTTGTTCATCGACCCAGATACACCAGCCCGATCCCATGGCAGTCCACTTCTATATCATTATTATCAGAAGTCCTAGTCAACCGAAGGGTCTTAAGAACTTGGTCTGTCTGGCCCGGGTTCACTATCTCGACGACGGACTCAGCGGGCAAAGTGCCATTCACCAGCAACTGTATCCCGTCTAGCGCATCTTCCTCGGGCGTCTTGAGCTTAGGGTTCGTCATGATTACCGAGCCTGGGCGAATCAAGATAGGCATCGTGGCAAAATCATGGGTCTCAGTATACCACTGTCCACCGACATACGACTTTGAATGATCGAACCAAGATGTCCACTTCCCCGTCCCTTCCTCAGTCTTGGGTACGTAAAACGTAACCTCACCGGCCTCGTTGAAAACCGGCGCAACCAACAAATTCGACCCGAACATATACTGCGTATCAATAGCGTACGTGTTCAAGTCCTTAGGAAACTCTAAGAAAAGCGCCCTCATCAGGGGTGTCCCATCGCGATGTCCGCGCAAAGCCTCCGCCAGGATATACGGCGTAAGAAGAATTTTGCGCTTCACACAATCACGTAACACAATCGAGCAATCTTCGCCGTAGATCCAGGGCACACGGAACGACGATGACCCATGTAGTCGCGAGTGCGACGAGAACAATCCAAACTGTACCCACCGCTTATATAGCGCCGGTGAAGGGGTCCCTTCGAACCCGCCGATATCAGACGCCCAGAAAATGTACCCACATAGCATAAGGCTCAGCCCGCCACGTAGCGACTCAGCCATTGCCTCGAATGTGCTTTCGCAGTCGCCACCCCAGTGGACAGGATACGCTTGTCCACCCGGGGCGGTGCTACGCGCAAACAGAAGGCCCTGGTTGGGGCCAACGCGGGCGGAGACAGTCTCATAGACAATACGGTTGTAGAGGAGGGCGTAGTAGTTATGCATGCGTACCGGATTAGCGCCGTTGTGGTACTTAATGCCCTTTACGGGAATACGCTCAGCAAAATCGGTTTTGAAGCTGTCGACGCCTATATCCATAAGTCGCTCTAGGTGGGTGCTGAACCAGGTGCAAGCGGCTGGGTTAGTGAAGTCGACGATAGCCATGCCGGCTTGCCAAAAGTCCCATTGCCAGACAGAGCCGTCAATGCGCTATATGAGTGGGTTAAAGCTGTAAGGGTGGCGTGGAGCGAGGGGCGGAGTTCCAGCTGACCTTGATGAAGTATCCGTTCTTTTTCCTTCCTCGAATAACGGCGAGGCCTGTGCGACATAGGGATTGATCCAAACACTAATTCGTAGTCCACGCCCCTTTAATCGCTTCAAATACCCGACTGGATCAGGAAACATTTCCTCATCAAATTGGAAGTCGCACCACTGGTATGACTTCATCCAGAAGCAGTCGAAATGGAAGACACCTAGCGGAATATCGCGGTCGCGGAATCCGTTAAGGAATGCCGTTACTGTCTGCTCATCATAGTTCGTCGTAAAGCTAGTCGTCAGCCAGAGATTGTAGCTCCACGATGGGACCAACGCTGGACGCCCCGTTAGAGTAGTATATCTTCGCAGAATATCCTTAGGCGAGTCGCCATAAACGATGAAGTACTCTATCTCCTCGTCCGGAACAGAGATGTTGACTCGAGTAGTCCGTTCAGACTGCACCTCTAGACTGACCTTGCCGGGGTGATTGATGAACACACCGTATCCATTCGAGGAGATGTAGAACGGGATGTTCTTGTATGCTAGCTCGGAGCTAGTACCGCCATCCTCGTTCCATATGTTGACTGTCTGCCCGTTTTTGGCAAATGGACCGAAGCGCTCGCCCAGCCCGTAGACTTTTTCGCCAACGGAGAGATCTAGTTCTGCGAGCATATAGCCTTGCTTCGCGGCGTAGAGGCCGTCTTCGTAGCGGTGCGCCTCGGTGCGTTGATCTGCGACGTAGCCGATTGAGCGGAACGAGTGTCCGGTGAGTTTCTTACCGCTCAGGGAGCAGAAGACGAAGTCAAGTTCGTTGGCTGTGGTGTTGATATCCAGAGCTAAAGGTCCACTGGTGTACTTGAGCTTGTTGGCAAGGTTATCGTGGGTGATATTGGTGTGGCCGGAGGTTGTGTTTAAGTGATAGTACGTACTATCGTTCACTTGTCCTGCCCTAGTTAGGAGTCAGTCTTGCCTGCCTGCACTACCAGGATGCGTGAGTATTACCAGTGCATGAGCTTCACGCCGATAATTCCATCCTGCGGGGAAGTAACTTGCGCCGACACGGTGGCTGTGCGTAGGTGAGTATGGAAGGTATACAGACTTGGAATTATCGTAAATACGTACGCGAATTCAATGTATCTCCGCGGTGCCTCTGGTGTTTATTGAGAAGTATGTAAACAGTTTCATTCTCAACGCGCAGTCGCTCGACGTTGCTCATCCACTCAATGCGAACGCCTTCCTGCAAGTCGAGTAGTTAACATATCTCCGATCTTAATTACGGCGTGTAAATTGTCTTCACATACCCGAAGGCACCACATTCCTTCTGTGAACTTCATCTTATCTCGACCTCGTTATCCTTTGTAGGAGAACTATAGCCCAAAGTGTAGAACCGTGATTATCCTCCTGGGAGTAGCCCCCAAGGTCGTGATTTCCCTTACACTTCTTATCAAGCAAAGCAAGAGAAGGGAGTAATGAATATGGGAGCAGGATGAGGTGCAGAGGGATGCTTATATCTCTGTTTTCGTCTTCTCAGCCCTTCTCGATTCTCTTATTTGACAAGGGTCTGTGTCTAGAATAGCCTAATAGCGCGCGAGTGGGGTAAATCCACTGTGCTGTTCTGCTGGTAGTCGTAGCGGGGCACCGCACAGTTTCTCAGGGCTTGTACCGAGTATGAGCAGATTGCTATGGCGGTATCTTGACTGGACGAAACCCACCTAACCCTCGCCGGAGTTGAATTAGCCAAAAAGTCACTGCCTAAGTCAATCTCCAAATTACTGGGAGATGTTAGAGTAATACTTTACATGTGATAACCGTTTCGGGGTTCAAGCTAGTGCTGAATTGAGAGTCCATCTACAAAGTTAAGGACATTAGCGCTTGAAAGAGGTTCTTCGGTGTTACTCCACATGGTTAAGGCGGGAAAAGTCTATGGAGGCGATTTCTCTACACAATAGCATCGGTGAAAAGCGGAAATGGCGGCGTGAAAGTCGAGCTATTGGCTGGGACTATTGAATGCTGGATTATTTTATTTTGACATGGGTTGCTTTTACCCTCTTCTATTGGCCGAACGTTTCGAATCCCGAGGTAGGGACACGCTTCGCAACCGCGCCCAGGCAAGAGACTAAGACAAACACCGCCGCAAGAGGAATCCGGCAAATCCTAAAGAATAATTGGGGCAGGACAAGTGAACAATAGTACGAACTACCATAAATTGTGGCGTTATTGTGCAAAGTAATATCACTCAATAGAAGGAGAACGTAAATATCGTAATCTAGGGCCGGTGGCCCAGCTGGCGGCTTTGAAGCCTTATGATTGGATGAGCGGACAACCCTCAATTCTGAACTGTTTAACTAGGAAGACCGATGCCCGATACTAAGTTTACTGTTCGGCGATTCCATCCCACAGCGGGGTAGGTGAAGTGCCTACTGTAGACGCGATTCATACCGGCCAGAACTGTCTGGCCGACGGTCAAGGGCCTTGTAATTTTTTAGCTCGGAATCTAGTGCCACAATAACACCAGATGTCTCATCTTGCCCATGTTAAGGCTACTGTGTCAAATCAGAGCAGTATACACCAACCTTGAGAACAAAATACTGGGTATCGCCGAAAAGTACATTTTTGGCGTGCGTTAAGGACTGGAAGCTATATTCACTGACACCTTCGCATCCAGGATGTGGTTCATGAATGACGATCCAGGTACCCAAATGGCAAACAAAGCAAACGAAATCCGTTTACTCACTTTCTCTCTATCGAGAATACTCAAGACATGGAGTGGTAACTTACCGCTAGATAAGGGCTATACTGAGTGACCCACTTTCCGCTGTGTTTTGTATAGTAATTTGTAAGAGAGAGGGATATGTATGACTAAGGGCATATTTGGCAGATGTGACATTGAACAAGTATGTGCACTTGATGGTTGCGTATATACTCTGCGTAATGTTGTCACAAAAGTCTCCCCGGGTCTTTGCGCAATCATCACTTATCCATAAATATCTCCTAGTAGGCACCCTTCCGGGCTTGATACTTCGGCTGGTTCACAGACTTGACCTTGCCCAGCGATGTGAGCACGGGGGTAGTGTTGATCAACTCAAAGCTATCTAGCTTGGCACCATTATCCCCATGAGCCCACAAGCTCAGCGCAACCCAATTCGTACCACAGTAGTTCAAGATACCCTCGGGGACGGGGAAGCTAGTCTGGGGGCCGATGTGGTTCACATACTTGCCATACTGGTACCCATTCACGTACAACTGCACGCGGTACTCGCCCGGAGTGGAGGTGTCGTTACCGAAGTTGAAGTACACTGGGATATCATAGCCGGAGGGCAGGTCCAGATCGAAGCTGGCACTGTAGAAGTGGATTCCTGGCTTGCTGAGGCCGGTAAATGGGCTGTTAGAGCCCCAGCCCTTGGTGGGCGGCTGAGGCTGGTGGAAGCCCTGGCGCTCAGCGTACAGACCTCCCTCGTTCAAGGGACCGCGGACAGTGTCGCGGTAGTTCTCGCCACCCAGGTTGCCAGTCAGCTTCCAGGAGATGGCGCTGGCTTCCTGGCCAGAGAGGGAGTACTGGAGGATGCCGCGGGGGCTTTTCATTGCCTCTAAACCGATGATCCAGTTCTCGTCCAGACCCATGTTGTCGATGACAACGGTAATAACGTAGTTATTGCCTGACTGCAGGGTGGGCAGAGTGTAGGTGGCAGTGTGGTTGCTGTCAATGCTGTTTCCGGCCCAGGAGCCGACGTAGGTCTCGTTGATCCAGACCGAGTGGCCGTACGCGCTACCTCCCTGGGTCTGGACGAAGAAAGTCTTTTCCTTGCCATTTGCTGCAAAGTGGCCTCGGTAGAGAAGGGTACCAGTGTTGAAGCCGTAGTCGGATGCGAACAGAGAAGTTGGAGTCTTGAGCGGGTAGGCGGTATTTTTGGTGTAGGCTTGATCAGCAGTGGCCCAGTCAGAGTCATCGTAGGTGTTCTTCAGCTCAGGGAGAGTGTCGATGGAGTTCCACTTCAGTTTCTTCAGATCGGGGAGTCGGACCTTTGGTGCGTTATATGTTACACTGGTCGACCAGATACCATTCTTGTCGACCTTGAACTGGGTCTTTTCGCCGTTGATGACCAGTTTCTTAGCTCCAGATGGCGCGCCAACTACCTCAATAGGAGTGGTAGCGTTGAAGTCAGCCTGGATGTGTAGGTCATTACCGTCAAGGTAGGCACTCCGCACGAGGTAGCCAGCCTTGATAATAATAGACGAGGCAGTAGTTTCTTGGTTGCTGAAGCCAGGGGATTTGCCCTTGGTGGGGAGCTGGGGCACCCAGTAGTTGTAGGCAGAGTTTCGGCCTAAAAGTCTGTGGTTAATAAGGTATGGATCAAGTGTAATTTCCATGCTACTCACTAAGAAGGAAGACCTTCAAGTTTCCAACCTGGACGATGCGACGTGTGCTTGAGGTATCCCAAGCAACAACAAGTGCATTGCTAACCTCTTTCGAAGAGATGCCTGAGGAGGATCCCTCAACGACAGAGCTACTTGACTCGCCGGAAACCGCAAATTCATGGTGCTCGCTAGGGCCGCCGTACAGGACAAGAACCTTCTCATTGTTGATTTTCTTCCAGGTGAAGACCTCGGCAGTAGAGTAGAGGATGTTGGTGCCAGCCACGTCATAATCAGTGACATGAATCTTGGAGTCACGACCACTCAGGGTAAGGCTTCCACCAAGTTGAGGAATAGTCAGATTTCCAGCACTGGTCGGGACGGTGAGCTTATATTGGGCTGAAGCCTGGCTGGTATAATCCGAGTGGCGGATCACGAAGAACGACGAAGCAGAGCTGTTGCTTCCAAGAAGAGGAGTCACAGCCAGGTTAGCATTGTTGGTATACGCGGAGGTAGTCAAGCTTCCAGGGTTAGCCACAAGGTATGCAGGTGAGACCTTGGCAAAATTTCCGAGTAGTTTCAGCTCGCTGTACTTCTCGCGGGTAATATCGCGCGATTCGGAGATAGCAGCGCCATAGTCATACGAGGTGTAACCGCCAGGGTGGCCCAGGTTGCCCCAGTTGGTACCACCAAAGATCTATAGCTCATTAGCATCCTCGTTTCCTATGTTTGATTGCTTGCAACATACCATGTACAAGTTCAAGAAGGCAACGCCAAAGCTAAAGTCGTTCTTATAGAACACTCGTTCAAACTCGTGGTTCAAAAGAGCCGCGCACCCTGCGAAGCCAACTCCTCCCCAGGGGTCGAACGCTCCACCTTGGAACTACAAAACGTTAGTGCTAAATCACTGAACAGGGAATGGTTAACATACCTCGACCAGAGAGTACGGAGTAGAAGGACTCTGCTGTTCATGACTGTTATAGAAGTATGTGGGAAGATTGCCACTAGGCCAGGTGGAAGGATTGGCGCAATCGAAGCCCAGGGGATAGCTGTCGTGACCATAGATGTCGACCGCACCTGCACCAGAACCGGGAGCGTTATGGGCACCAGTCCAGGCATCGTTGTTAATGAAAGGAACGACAATCCCTGCTTCGCGGGCCTGATTCTCGACGTATTGCATGTAGGAACCGTCAGGGAAGTTGCTAACGCCACAGCAGGCACCAGAGTATTCGTTCTCGGGCTGGTAAAGAATGACTGGGCCACCATTGGTAATCTGTGCCTTGGCAATAGTGGCAGCAATGTTGGAAGCATAGCTAATGGCAGTCGTTAGTATTCAAGACACTATTCACATTCACTATCAGCGGGACAGTGTCCATACTTATCGGTCGACTTCAGGTACGCCGCATCGCTAGTCCGCAGAGTGCCGTTGACTCGCTGCAGCCAGCCGGGGAAGCCACCACCAGAGACCTCGGCATTGATATAAGGACCAGGACGAGCCAGCAAGTAGATACCAGCCCCCTTGGCCGCATCGAGGAAGGGTTGTAGGTCAAAGATGCCCTCGGCGGAGTAGTGGCCTGGATTGCCTTCCAATAAAGCCCAGTCGACGTAGAATGACACGCAATTGAATCCCAACGCCTTGACCTTCTCGAAGATATCGATGTATAGGGAGGCTACGGGGAGACTAAATACTATATTAGAAAAGTGTTTCTCCAGTGTTGTGTCTGCTTCCATATAAGCAACAACATACCGATATGGGTGAACTTCACCGCTGAAAATCATCAATCGCTCGCCATTGATGAATAGCGAGTGCTCGTCCCAGGTCACCTATAGTTGGTCAACATAAGTACCACAGGGTAAATGAGCCTCGCACGCTCGTAACGTACATATTTTTGCAAGAGAGCCCGTTTCGCGGGATCCGCATGCTCCCGGATGGTAAAACCATCGAGCTTATGGCTTATAGCAGCACTTGCGGCTTGTGCAGCTAATGCGGCTACAACCCACGAAGACACAAGCTTCATGATGAGTGTCGACAATAGAGAGGATGGACGCGACCTTCGCCTTAGGAAAGCTCACGATTGAGGGAGCTTCAACTTCAGCGACTTGTATTTTCTCCCCCGCAAGGGATTGGCGGGCCTCTATATACAATGCCGTCTACTCCGACATTACCGTACTCGTATTATTGCTCTCCCCGTTCCTCTCGTGCATTTGGACCTTGGCTGGAGCTTTCGGCCTTGAGCTAGAGCGATAGTACAGTTCAACTCCTCTTTGGGAAATTTCGTCATTCCATCATCGACAGGGACGGGGCGGGTGTTGACTCTCAGAGTCTAGCGCTATGCCTGGAGGGCGCATGGATTTTTGCAGCAAGGCACAACGTCGCAGATGAGGCGAATTTTTCCGCTTATTGCAAGGTCACAATGCGGTTTGGTGGATTCGAGATGGGTTCGATGAGGGACTTCTCCTGAGGAGGGTCGATTGGTCGACAAGATTTCTTCACATCCGGTGGACCGGAAGGCTGTTGTGTTTAGGGTCCATTATACGGAGTGAGGAGAAGCTGATTGGCCTCGGGAGAAACAGCGGAATAGAGCTGCCCCGCCAAACAGCCCGCAACTCAAAAAGCACATCTGTATGGAGTCGATGGACGACTCGAGCCTGGGGATAGTTCGTATTGCTGGTTGTTCACGGCTCAGGGAGATCGGGCTATCACCTTCCGTCCGTGTTCTTTTGAGTCAACTGCGTTTCTCAAATCATGGCGATGGACTTGGAGCGCCTCAAGAATGCGTGCCAGTTCATTTAAAACTGGAGCCAAGGCTGCAGGGGGGAGACTCCCAGCTCGAATTTACCCAGCACAATGCAGCCCGATGAATCTCTGTTGCGCATCCTGGATACGCATTGTCCAAAGCGGCAGTTTCGGGTATTTTCGCGGACGATTATTATTCCAAGCGTTTTTAGAACCCATGCAAGAGATACTGTACCCCTCGGCCCAACAAGCAACTCTGGTTGACCTTAAATCTCGAGCTCAGGCATCTTCAAATGGGTAAATCTCCATGGTATTGCTTTTAGTACAATCGGCGAGCGAGCGAGCTCCCTTAAGAAATAAATCACGCTCAAAACCAGTAAAGAAAATCAAAGGCGTTGGCTGGTCATCAAGGCCAAATCTGGCCTCTTAAACAGTCGCATTGAATCGGTCCTCCTCGTCGCCGGCCTTGGTGTACTTCTTCCGCATGTCCACCTGTTCTTGCTCGTCTTAACAAATGGGGGGATGTTTTAACAAGTCCCCCCTCCCGCCTCTAACTACGCTAGATCTTTTGATAATTTGATCGGGGCTTTTAGATATTTTATAAGAATGATTTAACCCATCCTTCTGTTAGATTGGATAGTAGGATTTAGGACAAGAAGGGGTAAACCCTAAGGGGTCTGGTTTTGGTAGTGGATTTTTTGATGGGGGATGCCAAGACCTACCCACGGGTAATCTCAACCCGATTTAGACACGTTTCCTTAGCATAGGGAATTACCTTGGTAATTTAGTAGTGCATTTGTCAGACCAAAAGACTCTCTCAAAATCTTCTTTTGTATAGTGTTGATAGCGGAAAGCCAAGGAAAGTCGAGCAGCAGCGTGCTCGGGTTTAAGATAGGGTCTTTTCATTACCCGCTACTTCCGGAGATTCTTAACGCATGAAAGGCGGGCAATGGAGTCTTTCTTGCACTTGTGACTGACCTCGGCAAGTAGATCTTCGTAAGAAACTCGAGGTTCTTTATGGATCTTCTGGAGGATCTTTTGACGGTCGTCTTCATCTAAGAGCTTGGCGCCAGATCGTTTTAGGGACTCCTCCTTTTGGCGAATTCGAGACCGGAGACATGTTGCCTTGATAGTCGATAGTGGGGAAACTTTTTGTGGATTTGACCGTTGGACCACTTGCAATCTCCAAGGTAGTAATCTGTGTTCGTAGATTGATGTCTAATTCGCAGTTCCTGCGTCTTAGCAGCGCCCTTGGAGGAGATATAGGATCTCTACGGAGTAGGAGCAGTAGGGATAGGCCCCCTTGGCTTTGGAGGCCCTGGTAAGGCGCGTGTGCGAGGCATTGGGTAGTTAGAAAATAGTACGAAACGCGACACGAGTCTACGCGGCTACGCGAGTTCGGGTAGGCTACAATAGGAAAGCGGAGAGGCTGACGGTCAAAGGGGTGGTCTCAAACTTTTGCGGCGCCTCTAATTACTGGGTTCCGAGACAATACTGTCAAGTCACTCTCGAGTATCCCATGGATCCTCTAAGACACGGAGGAATTGGTCCTATCCACATATCAACTATGGACCAACTCTGCGGGGGTGTATTTAACATTTTCTCTACGTGCCACTCATTTTATCTACAATCAACCAATCGCATATTTCTGATGATCCGGTAGTCCTTATTCGCCACCATGTTTGCTAGTTCGTACGCTTTTAGCTGGTTTTGACAGGAACGAATATCATTGGCAGGTTGAAATACCCCATAGATGGATATGTAGACAGAATCCATTGCATGAAGTTTTCTGTCGGATCTAGATGGGGTAAAATACCGCTAGACCAAAAATGCTCCATGGGCGACATTCTTAGTCATACGGGCTTCTTTTGTTCCGTCATTTTCGGATGATTTATTCCACGTGACCTGCTAGTTAAAGTTGTGAATAATTTTCATGAACATTGAACGTTTCCAGCTTATAACTGGCGACTACACACAAGAAAGGAAATAGAAGATGAATGAATGGAGGGTAGCGAGCAGTGGAATCAGATATGGTGATATACCATGATTTCTAAAAGACGATACATCTCTGACAACACGGAAAGGCCCATCTGTAGGCCAACGAAGGAAGCAGCAAACTCGACTGGAGGAAATGGGGAGGGAGACAGTCAACGTAGAGATTTCTATCTGACATCTCAATTCACCATGATTAACAAGAACCAGATCCTCCTAATGATTGTTTGCTTAGAACCAGCCCGAAAGTTGATCCCTGACGTACTGCGCGTTGAGATTCTGAAGCGCCACGCCTGGGTGATAGGGATCGCGCCAAAGGCAGGAAAGTCCATCCCAATTGACACATGTTGCATCTGGTGCACCGTAGGCGGTTGGGTTATTGAGTCCCTGGTTGAACGGCTGTTGTGTGTCAAGGAATTTAAAGCTCGCGTCGGTGTGAGACGACTTGAAGTCGTCAAGATGAGCCAGGAGTAGAGAGTTGTATTTCGAAATCGCAGCGGCCTCTTGACTAATAGCTTCGCTCCCTCGGTCGATAAAAACGGGAGTACGCTGCATGGCTGTAATGTTGAACGTTAGGTTTCAATATGTAATATGAAGTGCGTATGGGAATAAACTCACGAGGGACTGCAAGCAAGATGAATCTTCTAAGCCCTGCAATGTATAGGATAGACAACTGGGCAAAGTAACTGCTCATGATTTCTGCGAGGAGCTCGTCTAGATTAGGCTGCCCATAAATTCCTCCCAAGTCGTTGATTCCCATCCATATACCGGCTAGAGTATTTTGGCTGTCCCAGGGTACGGATGCTCGATTGAAAGCAATGCTGTTCCAGAAGAGACTGACTTGTTGACCAAGATCAGGAATAGAAGGGTTCGCGGGAGCAACAATAGTGTGGTTCGTGGTTGCTCCAGCCACAGCAAAATTAAAGGACAACGTCAGAGAGGTGTTGTACTGAGAAACCAAAAATCCGATCCAATTCTCGCCTCCGTCGGTCGTCTGGCCCGGAAATGCTGGGTTTCCGAGGGGATTTGCGAGCGAAGGATAAGTTCCATCGATATTGAAACCCGTTGCAGTATAAGAGTCGCCACTGGCAATGGTTATCTCAGTAAATCGAGATGTACCAAATCCAAATCCAGTACGGACTTACAATGTGATGAGATACTTCGTGTTGGCGGCTACTCCATCAGTCCCTGGAACTGGGGCTGGGGCAGGGGCTGCAACAGATAGCCCTAAGGCGAGGAAAAGTCCCGAGAAGATAAGTTTAGGCATCTTTAAGAACCAGATACCTAGAAAGCTTCTCGGTGCGAAATCTTTCTTGTTGAGCTGTGAAGATGTCGGCATGGTTGAAAACCAAGGACCGTATCTTAATATTTATACTTGAGTGCTCCGTACCTAAAGTATAACCCAGAGGGGTCGTGCCGTCGTCATAATTTAGGGCCATCTCAATGAGAAAATCGGCGAGTCTGGATAAAATGAAACGAGTAGGATGCTTGTGACTACCATTTTTTGATAGTGGGTTTAGTAATCATGGGTGTCGATCAGCATAGGGTTCGCCTTTCGCCCGATGGCTTGTGGATGCGGTATGGGGTTGTGGGCTCGAAACAGGCATCTCTCTATGATGCTGTCTCTGTATGTCCACTGCGGGGTTTTTAGCGCCACGCTCTAGCCGGGTTGGGACCCCTGCAGTAATCGGTGATTAGGGGCAAGGAAGAATTTGCGTGGCAACACCCGGTGTTGTGGAACCTCCGGGGAAATTGCGGGGAGGGCTCACATGACACTACAGTATCTTCACTAAATGCTATAGTTTGGTGTCTGGTGTTTCAGTACGCCCAATTGCGGTGGTGGTGGCGCTCGTGTTGCGGGTTTGAGGTAATGTAACTGGCAGGCTGATTGCTCTTAGGACATGAGCGCCAATACTACGGAATATAAACCCCCAGCGCGCGGTGCCCCGTTGCCCGGCAGTAGATCGCTGGCTTTACTCGTTTGTTTTATCCGGAATTCTGCCAACTGCAATTTGATTTCTGGAGATCTCGTATCTCCTGGAATCTATCGGAGGAAACGGTCTACTTGTGGCGACGGATTCTCATCAAAATAGCTCCGAGTCAACTACAATACTGCAAATGCTAACCACTGTAATTCAATCGGCCAGGTGAGCATTTGTTCAGCCATTCAACCTTTTCATTCAAGAATAATCATCATTTTCATTCGGATTACCAGCCAATGCTCTCCAAGTTTAATTAGAGCACATGTCTCATGTCTCAATTCACAGACTCCATTCTCAATACCGTGTATATTAGGGATAATTTAAGGGGGTGGGTACAGTGATGTTCTCAAAGTACCGCACTAATTATCCTGCTGGCAAAAGGCAGACCTACCACACGGACGGTTTGGATTGACGAAATGTCAGCCCTGTCCAGTAGGCGGTATGTAGGCCGTGAACAGAGGTACGGTACATCAGCTATGCGGGAATACTGGTTGTAGCAATGGGAAACCCGTCGCAAGGAACTTGCCAAGCTTGTTGAACATACCTATACCCAGATATTGGACATATCGGGAGCGTTGTTGCGCAGGAAGAAGCTACGACAAAACCCCCCGACACCATTTGTCTCAAAGGTTTTGAAAATAACGTAGCTATTGACTGCGAGCCTCCGATCAAGTGCATTGTGCCTGTAATTGCCCATCTTACTGACGAGTTTGCACTAAGTCACAGTTTGGATTGCCACTAATGATAGAGTAATGAATCTTGGTTTTCTATGCGACAATTTCATGGAGCTGAATGAACCCTCCTTGCTGAATGCTCTCAACCCAGAGAAATGGCTGGCGTTGGTCAGAAAGACTGAAATGTAAATCTGCACCATGCCTCGTCCTTCTTCTAGCGAGAAATGCAATGAGGTCAACGTGATAGTTAGATATAACGACTACCATGCTGTTCCGAGAACGAATGATGTGCCATCGTAGTGTGGTTTCCCTAGCGCTGATGCGCGCCATTTGATATCCCTTACCCTCGGTTTTGACTCCGACGTGGAACGGACCGCACTCACAAAAAGGCAGACTCATCTGCTTTTTTATTGCCGGGCCAGTGAGGGCCAAACTATATATGACGAACACGGCTTAGTTTAAGCTTCGAAATTGCTAAAAAAAAATAGTTTCACAATCTCTTGAGCGTAGCCAACCTGTTATGGACAGTAATCTTCGCCGCTACACCCCGGGTGCTGTACCGCTCTAAATCTAAGATGTATCGAATGGCTAATAATAATTCAGGCTCCCTGCGGGACTTCCACCACGGTGTGTTGAAATCCCGTATAGCCTCCAAAAATCTGGCTCGATGCCTCTGCTAAGATAAGTTGTGGGGGGGAGGGGGGGGGGGGGGTAAATTAATTCTCTACTGTATCCAGGTAGATGCCCCTTGTGAGGACATTGAGTGGTGGCATGTCGTATCCGGCATAAGTGAAGCCAAAATTCGCGAGAGAAAATTGTATCACTAACAGTTGCACGACTATTGGATCCATTTGATTTTGCCACCAAGCATCTGAACGCGTTTATAGGTACACGAGGAATTCGCAAAAGCAACACATTGCCGGCGGCGTCTGTCAAGGATACACCTAGTGCCTCATTAACGTCGCCAAAAATGGTGTAAATCTAGTAGCAAGAGATCGCATTACGTTGTCTATTTTCATATTTCTGGCCAAAGGACGGTGCAGATACTGTAAGACGAAGTTGGTGAGTCCATTCAGATTCAGCCATGTCGGATATATTAATGCCACGATCCATTCGTCCGACTATGTCGGATAATGAGAGCCGTGAAGGTGTTTCCAGCAGAGTGGCACAGAGACTGGTGCGTGACCAGCTGATCTCAGAAGCTGGGCACCCGAAACTACCCTTTCCGGGCTGTCCAATCCACCTCAGTACTCTTCATCGTCAGCCCCGGGTTTCAACAGAATTTGTTGGCTGAACCTTGTCATTTCCCGCGTTTTACCCCATGGGGTTATTCAGCTTTTCGGAGAAATATCTGGCTATATTCGCGGTTTTAGGCTTCCAAGGCATGTATGTAGATCATACCCCAGGTTATGGGTAAAGCCCCATCGGTAGGTCCTAAGACTGGTGGATAGGTAGTTGACTTGCTGAAACGTATCACGCTGGTTACTACCCAATATCATTATTTACATCGTTGGTGAAATACCTTACCAACTTCAGATCCTGTTCCCCTTGCTTGCAGGGACTATTTCCCGGTCTCTGAAAAGCATATATATCTAGCCCGTAGCCTGATATAATTTGTGGATTTTGTTACTTCCAGTTTTGCAATCGGCAAAAGGGTAATACTCTGATAACCACAATGAGCTGGGTTCCTCGCTTTATCTCTACTTCTCTTGTCCTATTGAGTGGGCTTGGTCGCGCTGTCTATGGAGCCGACTCAAGCACTTACTACTTCAAGCACTTCAGTACTTCTGGTAGTATCAACCCATGGTACAATAACGACAATTCCTGGGGTGTATCCGCGCCAGGCGGTTCCGGATTTGTTGTTATGGTTACTGGCGAAGACTGGGGCACTTGGTCCCCAGTTCACACTCTGCCTAAGAAAATCAACGATCTCAATCCTAGCCATAAAACGTGGTTCAGCCAGAATGCTGCACCCGCAGCGGGCCACGGATATGATGCTTGGTAGGACTCTATACTACTCGATATAATTCTGTGTTCGAGAACTCATTTCACTTAATCAAATAGCTACGACATCTTCATTGACCCGAGTTACGCTCCGACTGACCGCAACGGGAAATATGAGTTGATGATCTGGGTAGCCCATCAGGCCCCAAATACTCCTCTGTCCGACCACTATGATGCTAACGGCGCGGCGGTTCCTTGGGCACGGAATGTAAACCTCGGAGGCCAGGCGTGGGATGTTTACTTATACCAGTACGTTATACTACGTTGCTCACAGGTGATGTTGGCGCCGCTAATACATATTTAACAGTTGGCCCACCAATGGCGCTCTGACTATGACTTACGTCGACCCGACCAACTCGGGCTGGTTCTCAGGAAGCTTATCGCCGTTCTTCCAGCATGGTATTAGCAGTGGCTGGTACAGTGGGGATGACTACTTGACTAGTGTTATGGGAGGTTGGGAATTCGGCGCGGGGGATTATACGGCTGATTCGTGGGGGGCGGTTGGGTTCTAATATACGAAAATGAACGAAAGCAGCCAAAATACTGACTTCAAAGATTTTAATCCATGAAAATCTTCTGAAATCAATTGAACTCAACTGTATTGTGAATGGCATGGTTGAATTCTGGGCTACGTCCCAAGCTCTAAAGGTTACCCTGCCGCGTCAATCCATCAATCAATCCATCAATCAATCAGTGCTCTATTAACCTAATGGGGCCTAATAGTGTCGTAATAGCTATGTGGGCGCTTCTCCCATCGGAAACGAGTAATCTGAACGCCAGCCCCGAGCTGTAACTGGCAAGTACAAAAGAAAACGGCGTTTGGGGAGATCCGTGCGTGGAAAGGGGCGTTCCATACCCATAAGTTCTGTTATAGAAGTGGTAAAGTGATCAACGAGAGTGGTGAGTACTTCCATAGAGCCGATAAATTCTTCGTCTTAGTTCTGTTCCGTCAGTGGCTGATGTAGTCTGCAGGGTGAGTGACCTCGACCCGGATGTGGAACTAATGCGAGCCGTCACGCGGCAGAGTCGTTGGCGAGACACGCGAAGCCCACGCTATTTAACTGATGAACAGAGGGCCCAACTAAATTGAGGTTCATCCCAAGTTGGAAGAGGCCGGGCGCAATCTCAGCAAGATCCGTGCCCAATACGAGAAGAGTAAGCAGCTCGCCCTGCTCCCTCGGATCCAGCAACGGGAGAAAGAGGTAAGAAACACACGAAAAAGGTTGCACAGGAGCTTGCGGCATCAGAGAGCCGAGAGAATTTCGATGAAGAGCAAGCATTTCTGCATATCGATGCACGTTGTCAAGGAAGAGAGCGAGAAGGATTCATCCTTGGAGGACACTATGTACCCCCTTGAGTTGCATCTAGTGCGGGGCATTCTTTGTTACCCAATCCCTAACTCCTTGGAGGATGAGTGGAGTCCGCGTGATACGGGTGCTGCAGCCGTCGTGCAGTATTGTGACGTCCTTGGAGTAGGCCCGTTGAGAGGGCTGGTCCAAGTGGAAGGCACCTAAATCGGCTGTGTCGGATTGTCCCGCAGCCCATCTGCCAGTTCCAAGCCAAATTCAAATGTCGGCGACTCATACCAGCCACCTGTTTCGGTACCTGACAAGCCGTCGCGTGCTAAGTTAACTACTCTGTGCAACTGCGAAACAATATCCATAGAATTGATCAATCACAGTACTTGAACCCTCTTTCAAACTGTACCCATATGTATATTCGTGGAACTTGTCATTGATTAAGAAACAAACCAAGAGTGTAACAGTTCAATCCGCAACATCGGCATTCTCAAGGATCACACTCACTATTCCTATGAGCTACACGCCATACCACAACACTCAAGTTGAGAGCAATGCAACATGCTAACTTAGATGCTAGATTGCAGTTCCATTGTTCAAGATTGATCCGTGCCCAGCGATCCAATGCTATCTACAAAATGTGAAGGAGAATGCCAACTTTACTGCTTCACGGCCTCAAGTACCATTGTGGATACCACTGAACATGGAATAGATAATTCGTTCAGTGCCGTGGCTATGATTTTATTCTGCATGCCCGCTAAGATGCATCTCATGTAGCAGATCTTCGTCACACCCACGGCATCTTCGATCCTGCAAGTGCTTCTCTCGAAATGTCGTAGAGCTGGCTTATATTCGATGCGTCTCTGCGTCCTGCGATGAGCGGGAAGGTCGGTGTTGCTATAAGATTAAAAATATTGCCGAGGCCCTTTGTCCCTCCGGGCGTTATAAACTTGAAGGTCCGTCTTTAAGGAATCGTGTATAAATTTGAGTTGGTTATTTTACATGGGATAAATCACACAGATCAACATCAGGGGGATCTTAGTGCCGAATGTTTGTCATCGTTTTCCCTATAATTCCCCACAGAACCATGCGAAGGCTCATTGTTTAGTATGCCCCAACTCGCTTCTTATATATGGGCTGTTCTGATGATACGATCTCAGTCAACGCAGAACGCACTGGCCCGAAATTCGTTAAACGTAGACCACCCAATTTCGCACCGTCGGTTGTTTGACCCCACAGTGTTAGTGCAGCCCAGTTCCCTCCTCGATAGGTCAATATTCCCTGTGGAATATGGAATTCTGTTGGTGGGCCGATGTGTGGCATGAACTTGCCGAACTGATATCCGTTGACATACAACCGCACACGATACGGCGTCGTAATGGAAGAATTATCAGTAAACACTAAGGACAGGGGGTATATCATAATGCTTGGGTAGGTCAATTTTGAACGAGCTGGAATAAAAGCCAATACCAGCATCATTAAGGCCAGTGAACGGGCTGGATGTCTCCCAAATTTTGCTCGGTGGTTTGGGTTGATGCTAGCCTTGTCGCTCTGCGTAAAAACCTCATTTCTTGAGTGGTCCCCGCACGAGATCAATGTAGTCCTCACCGCCGAGGTTGCCAGTCAGCTTCCAGGAAATATCATCCTGGTAATGACCAGAAAGGTTGTAGTCAAGTATGCCACGTGGATTCTTCACCTGATGCAGGGGGGCCTTCCTCCATTCTTCATCCCGGCCCATGACATCGATAATGATTGTCAAGACATAGCTAGCCCCTGCTTCGAGAGGGCAGATTGAACGAAGATAAATGGGAGTTATTCGAAGGACTACCAACTTGTGAGCCTAAACACGTTTGGTTAAGTTAAACCGAGCTTCCATATTCTGTACCACCTTGGGTCTGTATGGTGAACGATTTCTCTAGGCTATTACCGACGAAGTGGCCGCGGTAAAGCAGGGAGCCAGTATGAAACCCGTAATCAGATGAATAAAGAGACATCGGAGCTTTCAGGGGGCAACGGTGTTGTTCGTAGTTCTGTGATCATCACTAATCCAAGCGCTATCATCGTAGGACTCGGTTCTTTGACGACATCTGTCGAGTCAATTGAAATGGTTCAACGGAAACAATAAATCTGCCATCAGCAGCTGCGGAGAGTCAGCCCTCCACCTCAACAAGCATACGCCACCTGAAGCTCTGGATAGCTGGATTTTGCGATGGACCACATTGGAACAGATGGAGTTGACTAAAAGGCAGCCCCAGTATACCAGGACAGGAATAAAGGCTTGCGTTAATGGAAACACTGCTAATGCGTTCTGAATTGGTACCTCGATATCAAGGGAGTCGAGTCTTCTGCTTTTTTCGTCGATTAGCTTTCCGAGCGTTACATTTGTCTTCAGAGAAAGGAGGTTACTACCGCACGACACTTTCATGCTCATCCATAGCTCAAGTTTTGATATTGTTCTCGATGAGAGTACTCTGGGCCATTGAGGGCTAGAAGTGGTAACGGTAATCTAGTCAAGATACTCAAGAGGCAAATCCAAGGCACGACACTGCTCAATTTCATCCAAATCCGCCATAGCAGATGGCCACTGCAAACGCTGAAGCCGGTAGTTATTGTGCTTGAACGGCGTCCACTGGCCAGCTATTTCAACCTGTCGAGTTGTATTGACATATCCCCTTGCCGTCGTGTATCTGACGTCCGGCGTCGGTTTGAACGTTCGAGCAAAACTAGCCCAAGAGTCCAGCACAAACTGCTGGAATGGCAAATCGTATTCATCCCTCAATGCAAGGCCTTCCCGAACCACGTTGCCAAACACGTAATACAGTTCCCCGGAGTGACACTTGAAATATTCTCCGTTGGGATCGCCGTTGGGATACGCCGATGTCACCGGAGGTTGGCACAGAGGAGGATTAGGCGACCAGCCTGACAACTGGTAGGTGCGGTTGAACTCGTAGAAGTAGATTTCGGGGAATATCTTGTTGGTAAATCCAGCGTATGCAGTTGCTTGGTCGATACAGCGGAACCCTCCGTCAGTGGCCACTCTTGCCGTTGTATTGAACATGTCAAGTGTCTGGTTGGATCCGGAGTGTATAGGGAACACTTGACTTGGGGCAACTGTTGGCGGTAGACCGGTCTCGCTCAGGAACTGGCTGATTGATTCTCCTGCTCTGGGATAGCCTATCATGGCAGCACCGTCATCTCTCGTTGTGCCTAGCATCAGAGGCACGCTCGCAGTAGATCTTGAGTCTTTCAGATTGAGCTCCAAGCTCGTAAGATACTCGCCATCTACCACGAGGTAGCGTGCAGTATCTCCGAGGGTAGAGATCGTTGTTGCTGGAACGGCCCGTAGGCACTCGAGCTGTGACGCAGCATACGTGCAATTCGTTTCGCTGAGAATAGCATTGCCGGCAACTTCCATCTCTTGCTCGATAGTGTAGTACTTCGAGTATGTCGTCCCGGTCACTCCCCCGAGATTGCTCTGCATGATTGCACCCGCAAACTTACCTCGAGCTTTGGGCGATGCCAACAGTGCCCGGACTGATCCCGCTCCGGCCGATTGTCCGAAAATAGTGATTTGATTAGGATCCCCACCAAAGTCTTTGATGTTGCGACGAACCCAGTCCAGCGCGGTAATTTGATCTGCCAGTCCGTAGTTTCCCTTTGTCTTCCCATCGTCTAAAGCGAGGAAACCGAACGTGCCCAGGCGGTAATTAATAGTGACAACAACCACATCACCTCTTGATGCAAGATTAGCTCCATCGAAAGTGGTATCACTGCCCGTACCGCTAATGAAAGCGCCGCCGTGGATCCAAAACATCACAGGCTTCAGTTTCTTGCCACAGTCGGCTTTGGGATTCGGCAGATACGGAGTCCAGACGTTAAGAAAGAAACAGTCTTCTGAGCCGCTTGCCCACTGGACACATTGGGAACCGTAGTCAAGAGCAGACACATAATCGCCGTTTCCTTCAAAGCCCTTGGAGTAGGCCCAACGCTTTGGTGCTTCGGCGTAGCGAATACCGAGAAAGCGAAAGCTGAATCGATCTCGGACACTAGATCTCGGTTAGACAACGAATCTGCTATGACCTCGGTAGAGCCTTACCCAGTGAGATGCTGGTTGTTAGAGTTGATTGTGACCTGCCAGGTGGTGTTCGTATCAATTTTATCGGGCGTAGAGTAAGGGGCAGTCTGTGTACAAAGTACTGGGAAATGCTCATTTG